CAGAGTCAGCAGAAAATGAATAAATAAATATACATATATATATGTATATATATATACTAAAATTACCCTTGAAAAATGACTGAATACAACCAGATACAGTAACTCATGCACACTACGTTTTGGTAATGAATGAAGGTACAAAAGTAAAGTCTATGTTCAGAAGTCCAGGCATTCACATAATTAGAGTCCTCACTTGCATGGTGTTCGTATAACAGGCATTGTTCTACACATTTTACACGTTATAAAAATCCCGAGTTACTTATTATCTCCATTTTATAAGATGAAGAAACTGAGGCACCAGAGGTTAAGTAACTGGACCAAAGTCATCTAGTCAATAAGTGGGAAGACAACATGGATACGCGTCATGTTCTCTATGCTCTGCAAATCTACCCTGTGCCTCCTATCCAAATCACTATGCCTTGAAAATAACTGTCAAATCCCTAGTGATATCTGGGATGTAGGTAGAGAATTTTAAAGTGCTATAAGAAATTATAATTTTAAACTTCTGTAATCTTAATACATGTAAGTGGATTTGGTGTGTTGGGAGTATTAAAACAGAAAACAAGCATGGTCAGGTTCTGAAACATAGTTTTCAGATTTAAATTTAACCTTGATCAATCTCATATATACTTTTTTCTTTGAAAACTCATAAAGAAAAACTTGATACCCCTGCTTGGGGAATGGAGGAGGCTGGGATAGCTGTTACGATTGAGTATATGGGCGGTGTAACTAAAATGCTTGGCTAAATACATACCACTTGCCCTCAAGTGGATTCCAACTCATGGAGACCCCATGTGTGTCAGAGTAGAACTGTGCTCCGTAGGATTTTCAGTGCCTGATTTTTCAGAAGTAGATCACCAGGTCTTTCTTTCCAGGCACCTCTGGATGGACTTGAACCACCAAACTTTCAGTTAGTAGCCAAGAGCATTAACAGTCTGAACCACCCAAGGATTCCAGGGCCTTATCTAAACTTAGAAAAACTCTGTTTTTAGAGAAACCCCCTAAGATCAGATGGGCAAGTTCATATTGTAAAGTAAAATACAGTATTTCTTCTACTATGAAAACATATATAATACTTGATTAATTTTGTTTTTATAAATAATAAGAACACCTAAGCATAGAGATTTTAAGTAAATTGTCCAAGACGACTACAATTTCACAGCACATCCAGGATTACAATCCATATTCCCTAACATCCACTCCTGTCCTTTATAGTACTTTGGTTTTTTTTTCCTTCTTAGTAGGTTTATTTATTTATTTGAACATTTTATTGTGTTTTAGGTGAAAGTTTACATAGCAAATTAGTTTTCCAATCAAAGATTCTTACACAAATTGTTCTGTGACATTGGTTGCAATCCCCGCAATGTGTCAGCACTCTCCTCATTTCCTCTATGGGTTCCTGTTTAATTAGTCTGGTTTCCTTATCCCTTCCTGCCTTTTCATGTTTCGTTTTGGGCAAATGTTGCCCTTTTGATCTCATATAGTTGATTGTTCTAAGGAGCACATTCCTCACAGGTGTTACTGCTTATTTTATAGTCTATTATTTGGCTGTAGGGCAGCCTCCGGAAGTGTCTTCAGTTTCAAGTTAGAAGGCTGTCTTAGGGAAATAGTCTAGGGGGACTTTGATATTTTTAATACAACAAAATCCAAAACAAAAGTTATGAAAAGGTACTGATAGAGAGTAAACAAAGAGTATTTTGTAATAAAATCAAAGGGCTAAAAATTAGCTTTTCAAATATTTTTTACACATTAAGGGATTATGGTCTTAGACATTAAAACTTACAGTAATTCTGAGTTCAAATAGAAAAAAAAAAAAACTCTTATCTCCTTCTTTGCATCGATTTGCACTAAAGATGCTTTAACTAGTAGGACGGTAAATTACCAAAGAATCAGGGAGTAAACTGATGGCAGAAATTTGACAAAAATAAAGAATTTTTAACTTAAGAAATTCTGTTCAGTTAATGAGGCTATTTTAAAACTCCACGGATCACTTTCTGAAAATATGTTTTTTAAAATTTCTATTATCAAAATATACAAATGTAAAACTGGCGATGCTATATACAGTTTTAAAGGTAGAAATAATCTAATCATGGCAATGAGTTTAAAAGTAATTTAAACCTGATTGGAAAGAAAAACACACTTTAGAGCTAATAATGAACTGTTTACATCCATTTTTTTTGTTTTGTTAAATTTTAGTCATATCCAATGACAAGTGTCACATTTAAAAAGAATGAGCAGAAAGAATTATTTAAAGGACAACTTTCTTCATAAGTCTCCTTAAGTGTCCTTGATTTAAAACAGGAATTCTCCATGTGGCAATAAATATCTAATTTCCCTTAACTTTATTACTACTAGACAAATAATAAAGGAAATGATATGTACTTTGAAAAGGGCTTTATCTTGATGTGACAGAAAATTATTTTTGAAATAAACTACCTTTAATTGAGTAAAATCCTCATCCTTTAAAATACTGGTAATTTTAGAAAGTTTACTGATTTTTTCATTTAACTTATAAAAGACTTTTAGTATGCAAAAATTTTAAAACCAAGAGAAGAAACTTTAAAAATCACTGTATTTCTCTAACCATAAATAACTAGTGGTAATATATTATGTATTTTCTTTTACTTTATTTTCTGCATAGGTTTGTTGTTGTTATTTATAAAGTATATTTATAAAGTAGCTAATCTCCTGATTTTTAACTTAATGTTATATCACAAGTATTTACTTTTACTTTGAAAAAGTCCATAGGCAATATTTTACCAACTGAATAATAGTTCATTACATGGACATACATCATAAATTGTCTATCTACACATGCATACACACACTCACACACACACATACACACATGCACTCACACACATACACATACAGATGAAGGGGGTGTGATGACTATGTATACAGACATCTATAATTATAGTTTAGATTATGAATTAAACATATGTTTAATTTGTATTTTCAAAATACAAATACCCAGGACTATAATCTTAGTTTTCGGAATTAGAACCATATGTCCTTTTTTAAAAAATCTTTATTTAGAATACAATCCTAGCCAAAGGAATATAACATTTTTTGAAACATGAAACAAACGCATCCTGCTAATATTTTAAGTCTCTTTAAAAAATATATAGAATTTTCAAGCCATATTAATAAGCTCTATCATTGTGTATCTCTGCACTAATCAATGAATAATTTAGAATATTTTGATGGGCATAATTGATGGTGTTTCAGATTTTATCACTCTTGGTGAAAGTATGAACTAATTAGTGTTTCATTTTCCTTCTCACAGATACTCTGTCAGAACACCTGCCATCTGTGTGGATGCTCATCAAACAGAAATTTGGGAAAGGATTACTATAGATATCAGATGACTTTTTAAATATTTACTAAGGTCCTATGACATTTCTTGACTAATAAAGAAGAAGACTTTTATTGTTGTTCTATTCTAAAAGGGATTATAACAAGATGTTT